ATTACCCATGAAAACTTGAGATAGAATAAGCCATCATTTTAAGTCATCTTGTTGCTAACAAACTGCAACAGAGACAACAGGAACTCATTAACCTTAAGTAAACCTGGTTAATAAAACAAAAACATCAAGGCTGCCATGAGTTCCTTGAGGAAGGTCACGCTCTGAATATTTCAGGTGTCAGGGAGCTGCAGGGAGATTTATTTCAGCTACATTTCTCTTGCCTTTGTTTTCTTAATCATTTTCCACCCCGAGGGGGTCCTCTATTTCTCCCTTTCCTTTCAATCATCTTCTCCACAGTAGTCACCATAATCTTTACTTTCTGGTTTTGTCTCTCCTCACCCCTCTTTACGAATCTTTTGTACCTCCCTGAGCAATTCTGTCCACCTCTCATTCCATCCATCCATCCATCTTCTATAACTTTCTGGAAATATCAGGCCAACTTCTAGTGACAAAATTAACCTTCAGGAGACCTTGCCCCATGGGGTCCTCCGGATCTAGGCCTGAATATTTCCTCATTGGATCCCTAAGCCTCTGTAAGAAATCAGTTGGGGTTTCCTCCTCTTACTGTATCCCAAAAGCCTTACCAACATTCTGCCATCTTGGAGCTGATTCCCTGATTCCTTTGATTATTAGCTCTCCTAAATCCTACATCCTAACCCTGTCCCAAGGATCATTACTGTCCTAATCAGGGTCTATATTGGGAAGCTTTTGTTCAGCTGGCTGAACACCCTGGCCAGGAGAATAAGTTTCATATTTAATGCTGATAACTCTAAACATATGTCTATCTTAGTTAAACAACAAACTTGCAAATTAGTTTTTAAACATTGACTATGGTCCACCTGCATCCGCTTAAAAGTCAATCACTTGTTCCCCATTATCAGTTTTTACCTGGGACACCAGTGGGGGAAATCTGAAGTGGGCCACCCAAGTGGGTGCTCTTTGCTCCTTGACATGGAGGGTGGGAGGAGCCAATGGTGTGGGAGGCACCAAGGAGGGTTCGGAATCAGTTATGCAGGCTGCACCCTCAGGTGGTGCAAGAACAGGAGGAGAGGGAGGGGAAGGCAGAAGAGGTGAGGTGCTAGCAGAAGGCAGAGAAAGAAGATTCCCAGTTCTAAACCTTGTCAGCTCAGAGGGAGGAGCAGACGTCCTGGGTTTTTTTGTTTGGTTGGTTTTTGTTTATTTGTTTTTCCAACTGAAGTGGAAAGACCGGAGAAGACAGGGAATTTCCCTAAAACAAAAGGAAGGAATTTCGGCAGCTGCTTGAAAGTACCGCTTAAAGACTCCCTCCTAGTGTAGACTAACCACAGACAACTGGCTCTAATTATCATAGTCATTAACCCAGGAAATGAATGAGAGAGACACCCCCACATACAGCTCCTCCAGCAACCTCGGTTTTTTTGGAGGCCTGTTTAGACAATCATCCAATATATCAAGAGGGAGTTTACTAGCCAAACACATTTGGGCAAACACGTTCTGCAAAAGGCCCTCAGTTCTGGATCCTCATGTAGGGCCAGAAAGCCTGGACACGGGGTACCTCAGTCCATTTGCCCTGTTTCTTACAGAAGAGGTCTGTATTAAAATTAGTGTCCCGTTAATTTACTTCATCTCCTAAGGAGTGTTGACTGACCCCAGTATTACAAAAGATCAGTTTTTTGTTTTTTGTTTTGTTTTTTAGATCTTGCAATCTGAACTGATTCCAGTGGGTTAAAAGGCATCCCAAGGGAGAGTCCTTGGTGACTGAAGAAGATCCCTTGTTTCCTCAGTTTCAGAGACTATAATCCCTTTCCTCCAGTGTACTAGAACTTGTCATTCACATAAAGGGCCCTATAGATCAGTCTTCCTCTAAGCCAAAAAACAGATGGCCCTTTAATTGGGTCTTTAGTCCAAACGAAACAGCAGAATTTGATCATTTTATGTTTGTCCTTATTCCTTATACGAGGAGTGTCCTCCCAGTACCATAACGTTCACCCCAGCAGACTATCTGGGGGAATCCGAAGAGACCCGCCTCTTTCTGGGTGTCTCTTCCCTTACCCCTAAGCCTGGAGTTTTTGTTCCTCATCCTCCACCAGGCTAGTTCCTGCCTCTGAGTTTCCCTGGGGTGCTCAATCCCCCTTAATGGAGGTTTCTTGCACTTTCCAGAACCGACTGCATCTGTCGCCAGCCGTTTCCATTGCGGGAGAATGGAACCATGGATAGAGACTCCTCATTCCCTTCGTATCTGGGATATGTCTCAGTCACACACACTCAGTCTCTGAGGATTTCCCAACCCCCAAAGCAGTACTTACTGATGGGGTTTTGGGGTGATAGTGGGGTGGCCTGGAGCCAATGACCAAGGAAGAATTCTTGAAGACGTCTTTGGTGCACAAAAGTAATTTTATTAAAGCACAGGGATAGGACCCATGGGCAGGAAGAGCTGCACTGGGTTGTGACAGGTAACTGATTGTATACTCTCAGGTTGGGAAGGGGTTAGGGACAGTGTAATAAGTCTCTAAGGAATTTTGGAAGCAAGGTTTCCATGACCTTGAGGGGCTAGCTACTGTTAGAAAAATCACCATTTATTACCATTTAGTAAAACCTCAGTCATGAGACCCTTCAGGTGTCTATCAGGGGGCCATAAGCTTGGAGTATGATTCCCAGCATATATCTTGGGGGGAGTTGAGATAAAGGAAGTTTCCAAAGGAATTTTTATGTATTAGACTTACAGGACCCTGGGAGGTCAGGATAATGTTGGGCCAAGATTGTCTTTTGCTTCTAACAAAGTGTCATCATCAAGGCAGCTGAGCTCCTAGAAGGACGTCACTGCCTATTTCAAGGACTTGTCAATGGACTGTAGGCAGTAAGGGAATTTAATTTTTCACTTGCCTTTGTTTCCCACATCACCATGGCAAGCACTTATACCCCCTTACAGCTTGATGAGGGTGAAATTAGGGCTCCAGGAATCGGAGTCTATACGTTTCTGGAGATTAGGCTATGGATCAGATAGCCTTTTTCTTGCAGTTTACTAAGTTATCTGTAAACTGAAGGAGACTCCTATCTTGCATAACTGTGATCTCTATTAATCATTTGCTTCCTTTCCTTTCCCCTGTTCTTGGGCCACCAGGAGTGTCCAAGGAATATCACACATACTCCACGGGACGGTGGGGGGCGGGTCGTACTGTTAGCCTGTACTTTGCCCTCAGCTGGCCCCACGCTCCCTCATCACTTATATTCCAATTTTCCTACCTTGGTGCATGCACGGAGTCACCAGGTCACCACAATGTCTTTTACCCTTTTCCCAGCACCACTTCTTCTGCCTCCAAAGGTAAAGATTTTCGGGCTCCATGGATCCTGCCAGAGGTCAGGGCCCTCCCACAGAAAGGCTACCCAAACCGGGTTGGGGCACGTCTCCCCTGTCACAGGAGGACCTGGACCCCATGGGTCCAGGTGAATCCCAGACAGCCCCCAAATATGAGAAATGGGCCTACTCACTCAGTCAAAGGAGGGACACAGAGAGGGACTCGGAGCAGAATGAAGTGAGACTTTAATCAATGTTCGTGTAAGAGTGGGTGTCTGATGGGCCCGCACACTTGGGGCAGTTACAGCAGGCAATTTATCTCCTAGCGTGCAACTCCCTCCCCTGATTCCTCATTGGCTGAGTACTACAGAAGTTACAGTCTTACCCGGAAGTCGCCTATGCCCACGTAAGGCGAAAAGGAGTCTGATTGGAACAAATGTACATTCCTCGAGGTGACGCAGAGACTTCAGTTCTTTTGGCACATGCTCATTGCAAAGCCCGTGAAATGGAGAAGGGAAGCAGAACCAGGAAGTGAAGTGTCTAAGGGTTTGGGACTCCATTGTTGGGGGGGCCGCGGGTCACACGGGTCATTCAAGTTTCCAATAGGTTGTAGACCTATTGTTAACTGGACACCACAGCTTTTATTTGGTACTTCTGAAAACGAATCATTTCACTTCTCACAAGAGATGAGTTTGTCTTTCATAGGCCTTCCCTTGACAAATACACTGCCTAGGTGCTTTTGCTCTTCCCACCGTGTGTTGGGATATCTAATAAAACATTCTCATAATTTATTGTGTTTCCCCTCCCATTGGTGTTTACGTATAATAATGGAACTCTACAGTGTAAAGCCTTCATGGCTCAAAAGGATAAGCCTAATGACAATTAGGTAAATATTTGGGTAACATGGATGAGACTATTCAGGACTAAGGAGTTTGTTTGGGAACTTCTAAATCTACCACTTCCCAGGCATCATGTGCCCAAAAAAGCTGGCCTTGGCTGAGCGATCAGTTAGACTCCGGATGAGCCAGTCCATGAGGAACAAGCTTCCTCATTCATGTAGGAACCCAGGATAGCGGGCTCCTCTGGTTCATCAAAGGGATGATGGTTTCAGAGGCAGAGTGAGACTTAGAAGCAATTTATAGCAGCTTCCTACTTAAGGTTAGGATCCAAAATCTACTCCAGTCCATCTCCCCTACCCCTATCTCGAACTTTATTTTCTTTTAAGAATTTGGGGCGCCTGGGTGGCTCCGTCGGTTAAGCGGCCGACTTCGGCTCAGGTCATGATCTCGCGGTCCGTGAGTTCGAGCCCCGCGTCGGGCTCCGTGCCGACAGCTCGGAGCCTGGAGCCTGTTTCGGATTCTGTGCCTCCCTCTCTCTGACCCTCCCCCGTTCATGCTCTGTCTCTCTCTGTCTCAAAAAATAAATAAACGTTAAAAAAATATTTAAAAAGAATTGTATTAGCCTAACCAAACACAAACCACCTGGGTTGAAATCCCAGTTCTGCTGCTTGTCTCAGGACAGTCCTGAGCAGCTCACCTAATGCCTCTAAGCTTATTTTCTCACTGTAGAATTAGGGAAAATAGCAGTGCCCCCCTTATAGGATTGTTCTCCCCTCCATAATAAGTTTGTGAATGCAAAAGAACTTTCTATGCACAGAGGGATATGGGAAAACGAATGGTTGTTATCATCTGTAACCTTCCATCTCTTGACTCCCTGACCCTGACAGGTGCCATTCACATTCCAACAGTGTCTTTTGGCCCCAAGGAGTTAAACACAACAGCCCTGGCCGAGTTTGGAGAATACATTCGTTCAGCTCAGCCACAACCCGTCGCCCCCCCCCGCCCCCCCCCCCCCCCCGCCCCCCGCGGGGAGGGGGCAGTAGCCCTGGAGACATGATTCTTTTACAAGGTGATAAAGAGCTTCTTTTGTTACTGACCAGAGGACAGCCAAATTCTGTGGGCCTATTTTGAGTTTATACACCATGGGGAGGAATAGAAGGTCTCCAGGAGTCAGAACAGTGGCAGAGTACAGACCGTAGATTTATTTGGCCTTTGAAGGGGTCCCTGGGTGGCTCAGTCGGTTAAATGTCTGACTCTTGATTTAGGCTCAGGTCATGATCTCACAGTTCATGAGTTCAAGCCCGTGTCGGGCTCTGTGCTGGCAGCGTGGGGCCTGCTTGGGATTCTTTCTTTCTCTCCTTTTGCCTCTGCCCCTCGCTTGCTAGTGCTCTCTCTATTTCTCAAAATAAATAAATATTTTTTAAAAACCTTATTAGGGCACCTGGGTGGCTCAGTCGGTTGAGAGTCCAACTTCAGCTCAGGTCATGATCTCACGGTTCATGAGTTTGAGCCCCGTGTGGGGCTCTGTGCTGACAGCTCAGAGCCTGGAGCCTGTTTCAGATTCTGTGTTTCCCCCTCTCTCTGCCCCTCTCCCACTCACACTCTATCACTCTGTGTCTCTCAAAAATGAATAAACATTAAAAAAAATTGTTTTAACTTTATTGGAGCATCTGGATGGCTCAGTCGGTTAAGCATCTGACTTTGGCTCAGGTCACGATCTTGTGGTTCATGAGTTCAAGCCCCACATCGGTCTCTGTACTAACAGCTCAGAGCCTAGAGCCTGCTTCAGATTCTATGTCTCCCTCTCCCTCTACTTCTCCCTTCTCTCTCTCTCTCTCTCAAAAATAAATAAACATTAGGGGCGCCTGAGTGGCTTAGTCAGTTAAGCGTCCGATTTTGGCTCAGGTCGTGATCTCACAGTTTGTGGGTTTGAGCCCCACGTCTGGCTCTGTGCTGACAGCTCAGAACCTGGAGCCTGCTTTGGATTCTGTGTCTCCCTCTCTATCTATCCCTCTCCCACTCACACTCTGTCTCTCTCTCTCTCTCTCAAAAATAAATAAACATTAAAAAATAAATAAAGAAATAAGTAAACATTAAAAAAAAGAAAAAAATTTATTTGGCCTTTGAAAAACTAAGACATGTAGCTAGTTGGGTTGGAGTTTGAACTCTCCCTATCTTTGCCCTAAATATGCATCAGTCAATAAATATGATGCAATCAAACGGCAGGGCTAGGAAAAGAAATAAAAGGCACAGCATAAGAATAAGTAGGACCAGGAATTCCTTCTTCTGTGCAAGTTTCCAGAACTATACCCCATGTGCCTCCCACCCCTACCTCCAAATACACCTATGTACACACCCCACCCACCCAGGCCCTTTCTTGGATTCTTTACTGCCCCGTTTCTGAACTTTGAGTCAGTCAGCAACTTTGTGAGCTGAAGAAAGGATGGGTCAAGAAGAAGAAGGAGACTTGGAACTCCCCACCCCCTGTGTGAAAAGCTCATGGAGAGTAGCGAGACCCTCTTCCTAAATCAAATAAAAGACCAGCTTCTCCAAAGTTGTTGGGGGTGGAAGAGGCTGGCCTAGGTACTTGGCTGCACCCAGTAGTCCCTTCTCTACCACTGCCTGTGACCTGAGTAATTGACCTTGAGAACATCCACACCCTCAGGCAGAAGCATGGCTTTACGCCAGGCAGAACAATCTCTCCATATTTGCCATGTACAGTAAGAATATTATTTTTAAAAAAAGGTCTTTCTTCTTTTTTTTTTTTTGATATAAGGGTCGTGTTTGGTCCCAAGTAATTTGGATATCGGAGACTACTATATTTAAAATTTAACTGGGGCGCCTGGGTGGCTTAGTCGGTTAGGCGTCCGTCCGACTTTGGATCAGGTCACGGTCTCCATACTTCATGAGTTCAAGCCCCACGTCGGGCTCTGTGCTAACAGCTCAGAGCCTGGCACCTGCTTCGGATTCTGTGTCTCCCTCTCTCTCTGTCCTTTCCTTGCTTGCTCTCTGTCTCTCTCTCTCAAAAATAAATAAACATTAAAAAGAAAGAAAGAAAGAAAGAAAGAAAGAAAGAAAGAAAGAAAAGAAAAGAAAATTACACACCCCTAGCATCTGTATAACCCTGTAGCATATACTTGACATAACATGTTAGAGATCAGACCAAGTCAGATCTTGATCTTTTAGCTGTCATAATGATGGAATCTTGATGTGCACATTATTACATAGTAGTGGCACATTAAAAGATGAGGAAGAGGAATTTTAGAGATTGTCTCGGCAAATCAGAAATCAGACTGACTTTGTTCCAGAAGGCTTCCTAAAGGACGCTTATGTTTTGTTAAAAAGGGAGGGGCACTTGGGTGGCTCAGTTGGTTAAACGTCCGAGTTCGGCTCAGGTCACGATCTCACAGTTCATGGGTTCAAGCCCCATGTCGGGCTCTGTGCTGACAACTCAGAGCCTGTAGCCTACTTTGGATTCTGTGTCTCCCTCTCTCTCTGCTCCTCCCCTGCTCTCACTCTGTCACTGTGCCTCTCAAAAATAAGTAAACATTTTTAAAAAGAATGTTTTTTAAAGGGGCAGGGGTGCGCATTTTGTATCAAATGGTAGAAAAACCAAAGGCAATTGTTATATCTGGCTTTCTCTCTCGCTGTTTTTCATCCCTTTCCCTCTAGTCTTTCCTACAGTTTTCAAAACCAGCTTTGTCCAGCATGAAGTCATAGGAGAGTACAGTCACCTGTTCACCGTCCAAGGCTCAGATCCCAGCCTGCAGCCCTACATGCTTCTGGCTCACAGTGATGTGGTGCCTGCCCCTGACGAAGGATGGGAGGTGCCCCCCTTCTCTGGGTTGGAGCGTGATGGCTTTATCCATGGCCGAGGCACACTGGACAACAAGAACTCTGTAATGGTGAAGCACTTTGTTCCCTTCGCCTTGGGGCCCTAAGGATTTGCCCAGGATGGTGAAGCTCTCGCCTGACCCCCGGGAGGCAGAAGGTTATGGTAGAAAAAACCTTAGCTCCAGGAGACTTGGGTTCTAGCCATCACTTCTCTCGGTCTTGATTTCTCAACTGGGAAATAAGGGCTAGAGTAGGTGATCTCCAGGGATCCTTGTAGCTCTGACAGCGACACATTTATCCTTTTCTCCAGGTGGTAAATGTTTTACGCAGAGCCACGCTTCCTCACATCGCATCCCCCAGGACCACTTGAGCTTGTTCTCTTTCAAGACAGTCTGTCTGATCGCACCGGTCCTGATGCAGTCAGCTGACTGTCCCCAATGCCCTGATACTCCTTCTTCCATTGTGCTTCTATCCCCCAGGCAATCCTGCAGGCCCTGGAGCTCCTGCTGCTCAGAAACTACATCCCCCGAAGATCTTTCTTCATTGCTCTGGGCCATGATGAGGAGGTAGAGCCTCCTTACCCCATAAACTATCTCTAGGACCCCTATTTGGAGTGGGGGGAAGGGTGTTTAACTCTAGTGCAGCTTGCTTCCCAGCTGCAGGGCCTCCAGAATATGGTGTGGTGGTTTGCCACCTTCTCTAGGTATCTGTGTGCCAAAACTGTCTAAATCCCCTGACCAAGATGCAGATTCCCAGGCCCTGTGACATAGATTGGAATTTGTTGTTACAAGACTTTATATTTTTTAGAGCAGTTTTAGGTTCACAGCAAAAATGAGAAGGTTGACAGATTTCCCTTACACCGCCTACCCACACACATGCACAGCCCCCGCCATAATCAACATTCCCACCAGAGTGGCATTTGTGACAGTTGATGAACCTACATTGACAACTCGTAATGACCCAAAGGCCTAGTTTACACTAAGGTTTACTCTTGGTGTACATTCTGTTGGTTTGGACAATTGTATAATGACACGTATCCCCCATTTATAGTCTCTTACAGAGTAGTTTCACTGCCCTAAAAATCCTCTGTGCTCCACCTCTCCATCCCTCTCTCCCTCCCCCAACCCATGGAAACCACTGAACTTTTTAGTGTCTCCATAGTTTTGCCTTTTCCAGAAAGTCATATAGTTGGACTCATACAGTATGTAGCCTTTTAAGGTTGCCTCCTTTCATTTAGTGATACTCATAGATCTGAATTTCTAACAGACTCCCTGGTAATAGCTGAGGCGGGCAGGTGTTCCATCAGTGACACCTGAGAAACACTGGTGTGCTAGAAAGAGAACCAACAGGGAGCAAGGAATCAATGTTTTATTTCCAGTGATGTCAGTTACTTTGACCTTGGGCCAGTCACCTCCTTCTGTGGGTCCCAGTCTCCTCATTTGTGAAATGAAGGCAATTTGGCCCTTTCAGCTGTGACATTCCAAGATTCTGTGAAGCAGGGTTGTGTAAGGCCCTTGCCTTCCCTCTCCCCCACCCCAAGAAGGAGACTGGGAAGGGAGGTTCTGTAGTGCCTAGCAATGCTGAATGGGTCTTCATTAGCTGTTGGAGGTCTGGCTGAGGAGCACTGTGGTTGTGGGTTCGATGTCTACAGATCTCAGGCCACAATGGGGCTCAGAAGATTTCAGCCCTGCTACAGGCAAGGGGTGTCCAGCTGGCCTTCATTGTGGACGAGGGTAACTTCATCTTGGATGGTTTCATTCCCAACCTCAAGAAGCCCTTTGCCATGTGAGTAAAGTACCCCATCCCCCCCGCCCCCACCTTGGAAGGTGTTCTCATCCCATTTCAGATGACCCCAGCCTGGTGTCTGTGGGCCATACTAAGACAACTCTTTCTTTTACCCCTCTTGCCCTGATCTTCAACCAGTTCTGGGCTCCCCCTTCGCTTTCTCCTCTATTGTAGATTGTTTACAGCAGCATGAAGCCAACCTCCTAGCCCTCTAAACCACTGGTCCCATGGGATAATTCAAGGGGGGAGGAAGTCGGGAGGGCCCTCTCTGATCCTCTCCTACAGCATTGCAGTCACAGAGAAGGGTGCAATTAATCTCATGCTGCAAGTAAACATGACTCCAGGCCACTCTTCAGCTCCTCCAAAGGAGACGAGCATTGGTATCCTCGCAGCCGCCGTCAGCCGGTAAGCAACACCTGCCTCTGCCCCCTTGCCAGACTCGGGTTGGGAGACTTGGCGCTCTCCCACTTTGAGTTTGAAGGGGCTAAGCTGCCTGGCCTGAAGCTGGGCTGAGAAGCCGCGACGGGGGCCACAGAGAGGACAGAGCCACCAGTACCCAGGCGGGGGCTAGAGATCAGAAGAGGGTTTATCCATATTGCAAGCGAGAGCTGGCCAATAAAAGCTAGGTCAGGACACGAGGGCTGCAGGCCGCAGGTGAGCATTTCAGGGTCTCACCTCTGGCTGGGTTTTCTTAGCAAAGTGGGAAGATCTGTATTAAGTCAGTGAAATATGTAACCGATTATCTAGCAGTGTTTAAGGCTTTGTGCCCAGTGATGGGCATACAATGGTGGAAAAAACAGACAGTCCCTTTCCAGAAGGAACTCACAGTTCGCAGCAGAGACTGATAATTGTGCTACAGTGTGGTAGGTGACATGACAGTGGGGGTGCCTCCCTGGACCTGGTAGACAGGGACAGCTTCTTCCGATGGACTAGAGGTGGTTCCATCTGTGCTTGGAGATCTCCAAACGGGTGGGTCGGTGGAGGTGATAGGAAGGTGAATGAGAGACATCCTCACCAGGCCTGTTGAAAAATCCTGTCTCCCTCCTTCTCTTCAGACCCCTGACCTTTGACTGGGGTTGGGGAAGTCTTGAGAACCCCATTCTCTTCTAGACTGGAGCAGACACCAATGCCAAACATGTTTGGAAGCGGACTACTGAAAATGACATTGCAGGAACTGGCACATGAGGTGGGAGAAGGAGTCTCACACGCTCCTGGTCAGCTGTGGAAGGGGAAGAAAGGGTGGCAGAGGAGTAGCTTCTAGAGTAAGAGAAGGGCCCACTGCTGACCAGGGCTCTGCACATGCTCACCTGTTTTCAGCCAGAGGCTGAGCCAAGGCTTAAAGATCTGGCTTGGTCCAGGGCTTTAGTGCTTCTCTGAGACCCTGAGACCTGACACAACCAGGCACCCTTTGGGAACTGGTTCCCACCCATCCTGGAGGCTACCACTGAGGGCCCTCAAGGCAGATATAAAGCAGGGAGAGACCCAGGCCTCAGGTACAGTGACCCTGGTAGGCTGACGCCTCTGAGATCCCGCTGACCTGGTTCTTTCCCTTGCAGTTTCCCTTCCCTACCAATATAATCTTGAGCAACCTGTGGCTATTTGGGCCCCTTGTAAGCAGGTAAAGTTTTCTCTTTCCTTCTCGCTCATCCTCCCCTCCCACCAGACCTAGCCAGTCCCCACTCCTTGGCTTAACTGGGCTTGACTAATCATCCCTTAGCCACCAGATGCTACATCTAGTTCATATACAGGATGTCCCTCTTAGTCTTAAAGATCTCCAAGATTCAGGAAACTGGGTGCTCTTCAACCTGTTCTTTCTTCACATTAGATGGTTTTCCTATTGTCTGATCTTTGTCCTTTTGCTTTAGGTTAATAGAGAGGAATTACATAACCAATGCACTGGTCAGGACCACCACGGCACTCACCATGTTCAATGCAGGAGTCAAGGTAACATCTCCTGGATCCTCCCCTATACCTTTTCTTCAATGCCCACCCAGCCCTCTACCCTTTGGCTTTATCTCCTGTCTCCTTCTTCCTTCTCGGATTACAGTTTGAATAATAGGAAGGCCCAATGCTGAATTGTACAATGGTATCAGTTGGGTAAGTCACAAGAGCAGGTGTTCTAGCTGCGGTCCATAAGCCCTCTGAAATTGCCAGGTTTTACATATGTGTATTTCGAGGGGTGTCCATGGCCCCTCTCAGGTTCCTTGGGTCCGTACCCCTTCAAAAGCAACCATTACACTAGTATGAAGGAGGGTTGTTTGGGAGTTAATTTTTGTGAACTATACTCATTCAACGTGATATATATTTACCTAGCATGTTGGTCATGTAGACTAAATATTCTAACATGTATACCATCAAGGCTCTTTTGATTATTCTTCATCATACTTTGGAAGATTTATCCACCTAACAAATTTAATGAATGACTAATGTCTTTTCCCCTAGTGTTACCCTGTGTTGAAAGAGAGAAACTCACCCGCCATTTATAAAGTCTATGATAACATTCGTGATATATACAACACATAATATGTATACATTGTCATCTCCCAAAATACACTAAATAATGGGTAACCTTAGCAAACATAAATTCTATAAAGTTTACTCTCACAGTAATAAGTTTTGAGTGATTGTTTTTTTCCAGGAACTACTTTTTGGCAAACTGGTCTACTTCCATTTAGATTAGCCACTAAGGGGCATCTCTGTTTAAAGGAAGAAGCCATGGAGTGCCTGGGTGGCTCAGTCAGTCGAGTGTCCAACTCTTGATCTCAGCTCAGGTCTTGATCTCAGGGTCGTGAGTTCAAGGTCCACATTGGGCTCTGTGCTGGGTATGAAGCCTGTGAAAGAAGGAAAGGGAGGGAGGGAGAGACAGAAGGAAGGAGGGACGAAGGAAGTCACAGCCACACTTGTTAGCCTGGGCCTAGGCCTTTCTGAGAACTTGAGAGAAGTGACACCCTTCCAGTTACTACCAGTACCACCAGCACAACGTTAAGGAGTGCCATTCACCTTGCACACAGTGTGGCCTTGCGGAGCTCTGGTAATCTGGGGCCCAGGCTGAGCCTGGCACCCCAGTGAATTCCTGGCATGACTGACTGAAGTGTCCAGTGCGTCGGCCAGACCCGAGCTGTCTTCAGCTGCCTTAAAGTGTTCACCGGAATAACAGTACTGTGTCCTTGCATTTGAATCCCACTTTATCTGTCCAGAATCCTTTCATATTTGTTACTCTATTTGATCCTTTTCACAGCTCTCCTAGTACTATTGTTCCAATCGCCATTTGGGAAACAGAGGCACAACAGGTTATAATTATTCAAAATCATACAGGTGCTTTATAACAGCCCAGTTCTTCTGTCCCTAGTCTGGTGCTGTTTTGCACCAAACCAGTGCAAAGAAAGATTCAGAGTTCTTTCAGAACTGAGAACCTCAGTTCTGAGAACCTCAGAACAGAGGCATCTGTTCTCTCATGGCCCCTGAGGAAAAAATCCACTCAGAGCCTAACTCTCTTCTCCAATTAGGCCTGTGTTCTTCCTGGTCAGGCAGAGAACGGAGTCAAATTTTGCAATTAGACATGGGAAACCACCCTCATCGTCCCCTTCAGGGAGCAAACACACCATGACTGGCCTGCAGAGTCTCTGGGTGCCCTGTCCTGAGTAAGCTGTAACCGCTGCGGGAATGTCCTGGGCGCCCTGGGAAAGACAGCGTAGGCACAAGACTGCCAGTGGCGCTGCACGGGGCCAAAAGAGACATGTCCAGGTGGTCACAGAGAAAACAGTCTTGCTCTGAGCAGCTCTCCAGGCCCAAGAAGCATGGAGATCTGACCTAACACAGAAACACATCTCTAGCTCTGAACATTACCACTTGTCAAGGGTCCAGAGAAGACAAGGGGCTGGCCAAAACGTAAGCCCTGGACCTTTCAATCAAGTCAGCTTCCTTTTTCTCTACTGGGGATGGTTGGCCCTTCCTGGGTGGGGAGCACAGGTGGCTCAGCCCAGGGTTTGTGGTTCCCTCTCCAGGTGAATGTCATCCCCCCGGTGGCCCAGGCCATAATCAACTTCCGGGTTGACCCTGCACAGACAGTCCAGGAGGTATGTAACCTGTGTTTCCAACAACTGGCTCAGTGTCAGGGAGGTGTGGTCCTCTGGATTTGGGTTTAGCTGCAATCCCAGGGCCGGCCAACCTGCTTTTGTTGACTTGTTCAATAACATCGACAATTTTCGAAGGCTTCTGGGTAGCTGGCTAGGAATAGGAGACCTCTGGTACAGGGAGCCTGGGGGCGGGAGATGACTCCTGATAAATGGTGACAACTGCGTGTGGCACTGTCCTAAGGGTACACGTGCTCATTGAATGCCCACCGCCCACTATGAGGTAGGAATTGTATCATCCTTCTTTAACAGGGAAACTGAGACACAGATCAAAAAGACAGGTAAGTGGGCACCTAGGCGGCTTAGTGAGTGAAGCATCTGACTTCGGCTCAGGTCGTGATCTCACGGTTTGTGAGTTTGACTCCACGTCGGGTGAGCTCCAGCCCCGCTTGGGGTGAGCATGAGCCCCATTTCTCTTTCTTCCTCTCTCTCTCTCTCTGCCCCTCACTCACTTGCACCCTCTCTCTCTCTCAAAAACAAAACAAGACAAACAAACAACAGCAGGTGAGTGACTTGCCCAGGATTGCACATCTAGCAGGCTAGTTCCAGAACCGCCACACCGGATGACGATTAAAACAATTAGGGGTGAACGGCCGAAGGACCAGTGCAAGGAAGGGAACTGTCACTACCTCTGAGGGTCAAGAGAGGCTTTTCTGACGGAGAAACTTGAGCTGCAATGGAAAGGACAAACAGCACCTTGTAGAAGCCAGGCGTTCAGAGTCAGGCTAAAATAACATAAGGCTAAAGAGGAGGACCGACCGGGCAAAAGTGGCAGGTGGTGAAAACGGAGTTGTAGCGTGGGGGTCAGGGCCTTGCGTACCTTGCTGAGGATTTGGGGCTCTGATTGGCGGACAGGGGGAACCGTTAGAGGTCTTCCAACAGGGCCGTGATGTCCCCAGCTGTGCTTTTAGGAAGCTGGTGCTGGTGGCAATGCAGAGGAAGTGTCAGAATAGGAAGAGGTGTTTGGGAAGCTGTTACAGCCTCTCAGGCAGTGGACTGGGCCCGGGTGATGGGGCGGAGAAGGGCACCTGCCAGGGACGTGGGAGATGGGGTCAGCAGAATGCGGTGCGTCCCAGGCACGGGGAGACAGAAAGGCAGGATGGCTCCAAGGTTTGTGACCTGGGTGGCTGGCCAGGTGCCGATGCCTTTAACCAAGATCAAGAGTGTAGGAAGCAGAGCAAGTTCACAGAGAAACGTAATGGTCGAGAAGTTTGAGAAGCTTATAAATTATAAATAGGCAATTATAAATACCTCGGGTTTGGACAGCGAATGAACAAGAGATACAGGCTGGAGTGTTATTAACATAAATGAAACCTCTGGAGTCAATAAAATCCCACAGGAAGGATGTGCAAAATTAGAAGTAAAGAGGATTGAGGACAGAGCCTCGCAATGGCCTGCTACAAACACCAAATTAAAAACTATTAAAATCAGTGTGTAATTGCGAGCTGTGCCCTGACGCAGAGGGCCCAGGTGCTAGTGGAGAACCAAATGGAGAACCAGACCTGGCATGGGGGTGGGCAAGTCTTCCCGGGGAAGTGGCATTTGAGCTGAAAGATAAAGGGTGAGTAGACATTATTCGGAATGTTTGTCATCTTCAGGAGAGGCTAGCTTATTTAAAAGGCAGGTTAAGCTAAAAAAAAAAAAAAGAGAGAGAGTTCAAAAGGTAAATCTAATCCTTCAAAAAATGACCTTAAGAGGCAACCCAACAACTCTCAAATGAATGATATGTTCCAGAATTCAGCAGGGGCAGGGGCAGGTGGTGTTCCCTGAGTCTCTGATGCGGATCCTCGAGGCGCAGCCCCCCTTAGACTTCATGGTCCTTTCTCCCTAAGTTCTTCACCCTGAGGGTTTTGTTTGTCCTCACGCAGGGTGGGAGGCACACCCCCTCAGTGCAGGGGGGTGGGGGCAATGGACTGATGGCCTGCCCAGAGTCACCCAGCATTCGGGGGAAGCTGGGACCGGTGTGAGCCCTGGGCTCTGCTGCTTTTCATCAAGTGCCAGCCTTTGTCCTCTCCCTGGAGGATCACGGGGCCAGGAAATCACTGAATTCCCCCTATTGAACTTCTTTCAACCAGTTTTTTTCCAGCCTCGTTCCAACTCCATGCCCTTTCCAAGGGCTGTTTTCCACCAGCTGGGGTTTGCGTCTCCCCAGATTCTGGCACTCTTCCCTCCTCTCTATTCCCGCACCATAGTGCCCTTCCCAATCTATCTCATGAGATCCCTGGACCCAGCCCGCCCACCTGCCCCAGTGAGGAATGAATGGAAAGTCTCCCATCATCCTGAAAGCACACAGCACCCTTTCGTTCTGGTCCTTTCTCTCCCTCATGCCCTGGTTTCATGCATCGGGTTCTGTCCCCAGATATCGTGCTGGTCCGAGGGCCAAGGGTACAGGGCCTAGGACTGGATCCGGCAGGAGCATAAACAGTTCCCAGAACCTTCTTCCTCCACCTCTAACTGGGTTCTCCCATGTTGTGGCTGTAAATAGGTCCCTGGCACCTGGTTATGAAGAACAGTCTTCAGAAATGTGCCAGGCTACCCTGTAGAAGGTTTGTGCTGAATGGGCCTCAAGGAGAAAAATAAGGCTACTGGGAGATGTTTCAGGAAGCCCCCACTTAAAGGAGAGTTTGGGAATATGGTACCTTGGATGATAATGAGTTTCTCAGAGGGTGGATGTCTACCTATCTAGAGTGTGGTAGAGAAGATTCTTTGCTTTCTTCATTTCTTCACCGAGTGTTTATTGAGTGGCTGCTATGGTCTAAACACCTGGGGAAATGGTGAGCAAGACGGCCAAGATTCCCATTCTGGAATGGGATTCCCATTCTGGAGCGTAGGGCACTACGCTCTAGTGGGGAAGGGACAGCAATAAGCAAGTGATCAAATACTTTAAGAGGTTAAGTACCATAAAGAAAATCATGTGATGATGGGTCCCAAAGTGATTGTGAAGTGGGGGTGGAACAGAGAGTCAGTCCTCCAAGGCGACATTTACCCTGAGACCTGAGATAGAGCAAAAACCTGGGAATGGTAACCAGGCAGCAGGGGCACAGCAGACATTCAGGGGCGCCTGGGTGGCTCAGTGGGTAAAGCATCCGATTCTTGATTTCGGTTCAAGTCATGACCTCACAGTTCTTGGAATTGAGCCCTGTGTCAGGCTCTGCATGGGACTCCATAGCCTGCCCCCCCCCTCTTCCCCTCCCCTACTGTGCACTCACATGCACACATGCTCTCTCTCTCAAAGTAAATACACACACACAAAAAAGAGAGGCGCCTGGGTGACTCAGTCATTAGGCAACCAACTTTGGCTCAGGTCATGATCTCACAGCTGGTGAGTCCAAGCTCCCCATCCGGCTCTCTGCTGTCAGTGCAGAACCCTCTTCAGGTCCCCCATCCACCTCTCTCTCTGCCCCTCCCTCACTCCAGCTCTCTCTCTCTCCCTCTGTCTCAAAAATAAATAAACATGAAAAAAAAAAGAAGACATTCATAACCAAGTTGCTCAAAGGCAGAATGGATTGTAACTCGTGATGGTGCACTTTCTGCCATGGAAGAATTCAAGCACAGGCTGGATGGTAATCTCGTGAGTGTCTATGAGAGGCCTTGCCTTACAGCAAGATGGAGGCTGGACTTGCTAACTCTATCTCTAGAGACCTTACCAAGGTGTTGATATCCCTTGTCCTTGCCTTCAACAAACTTATCATTCCCTTGAGGGGAAAACATATCTACACATAAAACAGAGGGAACACGTGATGGCGTGGGAATGTGCGGTAAGGGCTGTAGGAGCTCAGAGAAATGAGAGACCAATGTGCCTTAAAGTAAACTTCGAGGTCCCTCTTACCACCGGCGGGTCCCTCCTCTTAGTCCCATCCTTGTGCCCCTGATTACTGTCCAGGCTGGCCCCTCTATTCTAAACAAATAGCAGCTAGCATATATTGAGTGCTTACTGTGTGCCAGAAACAGGCCCAAGCACATCACGTAGGTTAATTCCAGTGGTGGTCACAACCACCTTACCAGGTAGGTGTTCCTGTTATCCTGACGTTAACAGGTGAGCGTGCAGATGGCACAGAGGTTAAGCAGTTAGCCCCAGGTCACACGACTATAAGTGGCTGTCCGTGGCACGAAGTTTGGTGTCACTGCTCAATTTTTGTGCATGCCCCTCTCCAGGCTCAGACTGTCCCTGCTTCTTCTCCATCAGTTTCATATCCTCTCCTCAAATTCTGGATTCTTAAAATCCATACCACTAAGGAATCCATCCTCCTGGGCCGCCTGGCTGGCTCAGTCAGAAGACCGTGCAACCATTGATCTCAGGGTCGTAGGTTAGAGCCCCACATTGGGTATAGAGATTACTTAAAAAAATAAACAAACTTTAAAGAAAGAAAGAACACCATCCTGTTTCTGGCCCTCCTTCCGATCACCTTGACCTCTATGTGCTTTGGAGACAGTAAATCATCACCCTTGTGAAGTCAGAGACCAGATTCAGATACCCAGCCCAGTGATACTCACTGTATAACCCTGAACAAGTTACTTCATGAGACAACTCCAACTATTTTTTTTTTTTTGGCTCATATCTTTTAAATTTCTGGTATCCAGCATTCATCACATGCTTTTATGCTCCTGACCAGAAACACAGAAACACAGAAATGAGGTAGACATAGCCCCTCCTCTTATGTCAGGACCTGGCCTAGCACTTAGTAGGAAACTTGGTCTCTTGTGGCCTCTCACTGAGGGGGGCTCCCATGTGTGCCCTCTTCCATTTCTGGGGGCAGGAATCTTTAAGTAATTTGGGACAGGGGGCAGCAGGCACAGTCCCAACCCACCTTACGGGGGATGACTGGGAGCCTCCCAGTTGGTTGAGGATGTATCAAAACTATGCATTAATTCTTATATTAGAGAATTTCAGACAGAAGTGTAGAGCGAAAATAAGCTCAGATAAATGAGTTGTCCATCCTCCTTCCAACTAATCCAACAGCGGGGAATTGGGGTTGGCTCAATGGTGGTTTCTAAGCCAGAAATAGGAACCTTCATTTCCTTTCCAGACTCAGCTCCTAGCATACTTCTAGGGGACACTGACCTAAAAAGGAGTACCCTTGAGATAATGTCCCCCATGCAGGTGATCCTCAGCTATGGGACACCCCCCTTTCTAAGACAGAAGCAGTTCTAAAGCAATTGCTGATAAATGAGTTGAGGCTAGTGCTGGGGCTTTCCCTGTGTGGTGGGGTGGGCTTGGGGACCACCCTAAACCAGCCTCCTGCTCCATTCCCACAAGGCTCCATGTGACCTGAGCCTCAGGGTCTGGTCTACGTCCTGCCTGAGACCAGGACCTGTGCTGGATTCAGCTCTAGTTGTTTCAGACTGAATTCTCTAGGAGCTTCCTCAGGTTCCTTCCTGAGGAAAGGAAGCAAAGAGAGAGCTTGAATACCAGTCCCCCAACTCCTGACTTTTTGTCTGTGTTGAGCTCATCTTCCTGGCTCCAGTGCAGTTAGTTACAAACAGGAAGCAGGGATGCCCAAAGAGGAGAAAGAAAAGTGTGTGACCTTTTCCTCAACTGTCTGTGGCTCCCAGGTTGAATGAGGTCATCACATCTATCACCCTTGCCTCAAGATGGTTGAGTTCCCCTTTCTGCTGTCTCTTCTACATTCCACCCGGCCCATGACTCACGGCCCAAGAGGAAGGACACACAATTTCCTGATTTCCAATTCTCTGCCTGCCTCATGGCTGTAAGGCAAGCCTCCTGAACATTTAACCTAAATCTACCGTGCTGTAGATTTCTTTCCAAGAAGACCCAATTCTTCTATCTCCTACTGCCAATCAGCTGAAATTGAGGTCCCGGTGCTAAAATGAGCTCCTCTGTAAGCTCCAAAGTCCTGCCTTGCTGGAGACAAAGCAGGATTATTTCGATTCATATGGTACTTGCACAGCAGATAGTAAGAACTCAAACTCCCATTTGTTTGCTCCCTCAAGGTCCTAGAACTCGTCAAGAACATTGTGGCTGACGACAGGGTCCAGTTCCACGTGTTGAGTGCCATTGACCCCCTACCTGTCAGCCCCTCTGACCATCAGGCCTTGGGCTACCAGCTGCTCCACCAGACCATACGGTCTGTCTTCCCGGAAGTCAACATTGTTGCCCCAGGTAATGACTTCATCATCTGTGACTACAGGGAGGCAGGGGCTGGAACTGTTTCCTATCTAATGTCTACTGCCCCACCTCCACCCCAGCTGTTCAGCCTGGAAACATCTGGCTGCTTCCCCTCGTGATGGGACTGGAACTGTATTTTCCTCTTGGAGTGGAAGTCAGAAAGCAAACAGGAAAAGAGCAGAAACAATAAATTAGATCAGTCATGCCTGGGTCCTGGCTTCACCTAGGCCAGCCACTCTGTCATGGAGGAGAGGATCAGCCCAGACCCCACCCCCACCCCCACCCCCACCTTACTCCTTGAGCCACAGAAAAGGCCAAGTTTCCCCCAGGCTGGTTCTGATCTATGCAAGGATAATAGCTCAGCAACAGAGCTCAGAATCTGCAGCCCAGAAATGCCTCCCCACCTCTACCATTTGCATTAACCCCCTTCACCTCTCCCAGCCCAGACAGCAGTGCCTCTATGCCCTTTCCCTGGTCTTCCAGCATACCTTCCATACCTATACCGGGTAGATGGTGGCTCTCCAATTTAACAGTGGAAGAGGGTTACCTAGGCCACTTATTACAGTGAAGGGTTAGGGCTCCCAAAGATTCAGCCTAACCAAATCTGGAGAGTCTGCCTTTTTAACATCCCTCGGGAGATTCTGAGACCAGATGATGGCTGACCACAGTTTGAGGATCTCTGGTCCACGATGTGAGGATGGCCCATAATGCTAAGACCTGTGTCCAGTTTTGTCTTTTAAATCTAGGTTTATCACGGATTCCCTCATTTTCTAAGCACATACTTAGGACCTGCCTCTGTGCTAGGCATGGGCCCATAAAGAGCGTCCGGTGAAACTCTGCATCCACAAGATCAGCTGTGAAAAGGGCAGCCTTGTTTTTTAATCAACCAAAATCTAGCTATAAGCCCCACTCCTCAGGAAATCCAACCTCAGGTATTACTGAGACCTCCAGGCTCCCCACCACCACCCTCATTTTGAACCAGGCCCCGAGGTCTTACGTAGCAACCTGACATGGGAGTCCCTTGGCGGGTGGTCATAGGTCCTTGGGGCTCCCTCTGAGACATCCATTACCTAGCTAGAAAGTCACTTCAGGTTAGAGATTCCCTCTGAATTCTGGAGAGTAGGATCTTTGACTCTAGACATAAGACCCCATCTCCCTGAACATACCAGGCAACCATCCCCTCTGAGGTCTGCCCCCTACTCGAACTCCTGCCACAGAGCAGGGCTGGGTCTCCACCATCCAGGGACCCTGGCCCTCACAGTCCCCGATTCTTCTCTCTTGGCTCTCAAAGCTCCCTATGATACCCTCTCCCCTGTGGGGCAACCGCCATAATCCTAACAGGGTTAGGCTTTTATGGAGAAAAAAGATAAGCAGGCATCAACTGATAGAAATCCCTAAAGCAAGGAGTTTGAAGGGCCTAGTTACCCATTTGAAACTGGAAGTGGAAAATGAAACAAAACACAGACTAACATCTCAGATCATCCCACCACTCATCACTGGGTGCTTCAGGGGGTCTTTTCTCAGAGAATGCTCCCCCCGGGGACAAGGCCCAGCCCTCACTGGAGAGGGGGTGAGCTGCTCCTACCTTCAGGAGAGCAAGACACTGGAGAATAAACATCCTGGGACTTTCCTAACCTCAGGTTTGACTCTTGGAAAACAGAAAATAACAGGAAATTATGTTCTACTTTAAGGGGACTGCATTTTATAACAGTAAAACTCCCCGGGGGGATGGGGGGGGGGCGTGTTTATTTCTGACCTAGGGTGGTGTAAAGAGAGCTGAGGCAGTAAAGAGCTGATATCTAGATTTCCGAAATAGCCCGGGGAAGGGTATAAAATGAAGGTACTGGCTTCCCTGGTCATCATGGAGCGAGGACACTTGGCTCTGGATCACTCGGGGATGGCTCACTAACGCCCTTGGGAGGAGACCCCATGCTTCTGGCCGAACGGTGTTTTAGAAGGTGTTGAGAACGGGTAACCCGAAGGTTAAAAATTCAGAGCGACAGGCTCCCAGGAGGGCCCAGGTGATGTTCTTATTGGCCCAGGGGCCCTAATTTTCCAGCCAGTCCACCTCCCACCAGTATCTTGGCTTGATGATCCACATCAAGCCTCACCGTCCTTCATTTTCTCTGTCCAGGTGTTTGTATCGGCAACACAGACAGCAGACACTATACAAACCTCACCACCGGCATCTACCGGTTCAACCCCCTCTACCTGGATCCTCAGAGCTTCCGGAGGTGAGTGAGTGGAATAGGTCTGGAGAGCAAGGGGCAAAGAGGAGGTACATCTGACCTGTCCCCACCCCTTTCTCCTGCCAGCCCACAGAACAGGAGAAAGCTGGGGTGTGCACAGGCTAAAATGAAGACTTCTAGAACCCAACTGGCCAAACTTCCTCATGGCCAGAGCCTTGCCACTCCCCAGAGTGCATGGAAATTGGCCACTGGTTTTCTGGGATGGAGATAATCAGATGATTGGAAAGTCTCTGGTGCAAGTAGGACCCTTGGGTCTTAATCCCTCCACCTCTTCCCTTTGGGAGCATGCTTACCCTCTGGATGTCATTTTCTCCCCAGAAGGGGAGACTCCAGACTTCTCAGCTACCATTCAGTGAAACAGACCCGCTTGTGGTCAAAGGTGGACACATGCTTTGAATTCTCAGAAGAAAACACTCTATAGGGGAGCCTGAGTGGCTCCATCGATTAAGCCTCTGACTCGTGGTTTCAGCCCAGGTCACGATCTCAGGTTCGTGAGATCGAGACCCGCATCGGGCTGTGCGCTGACAATCCAGGGACTGCTTGGGATTCTCTTTCTTCCTCTCTCTGCCCCTCCCCTCTCCCCCTTTCTCTCAAAGTAAGTAAAGTAAGTAAATAAAACATTAAAAAAAAAGAAGAAGAAAACACTATAGGGATCTAAGACATGATCATCAATTTTAACTATTGTATGTGAATTACTACTTTGTGGGTTCTTCAGCAAAATCTTAGTCCTTGGGCGTGGGGGGTTGACTTCCATCTACCTTTCTGTTCCTTACCATATCCAGACCTGATGTCCCCACTCTAAGTCAGTTGCCAGTGGAATGAAAATACTGTTTTTGAATACGAGCTCAAGAACAACTTTCATGGTTTTTGTTTGTTTTTTAACCGGAGCCGCAGGCCGCTGCTCTTTATTTCCTTTTATCTTTGAGGTTACATGTGTGGTGTGGTTGTGTGTTGGGTGGTGTGGAGGCTGGTTGTGGGCACAGGATCAGATGGAAATTTCCTAGGTGCAGTAGAGGTGCCCTGGGCAGTCTCCCTCTGTCTCCTTTTGTGCCCCTAGCAATGTGGGGGCCAGGGGACTCTAGCCTGAGAGAAAGAGAATTAAAAAGATAATTTCCCCTCAGGGGACAAATTATCAAATCGATTCCAGGGCAGGAAATGATTCTGAACTCCCCAGGATTTTAGTATTTTCTTCCCCCCACCACTCTTTGCCACGGTCACGGATCCAGGAAAGATGACCTACGTGTCACATGAAACCTCACGTCTTACAAATAGCCTCTCCCACGTGCCCACTTCCTGCCCCTGGAGGGTCAAAGGCCAGTGGCTTCAGGGCATGTGAGGTGGGGGTACTCTGCACTAAGGCTTGTGCTAAAGCGGTTGGCTTTCTCCAACCTTCCCCTAAATCTCTCCCACAGCATCCACGGCATCAATGAGAAAATCTCAGTCCGCGCCTACGAGACCCAGGTGAAATTCATCTTTGAGTTTATCCAGAATGCTGACACAGACCAGGAGCCAGTTCCTCACCTGCACGAACTGTGAGGTCAAGGAGCCAGCTGGATTAGGGTTGCCCGACCTCAGCCGAGGCTAACTCAAGGGCAAAGCTAATGTCGATGAAACTTTGGGTCAAAACCACATTATGATACATCACCCTCTTGCTTTGATCACTCCGGATTCACCAAAGAACAGGCCAAGGAGTAGGGAAGGGCCAGCAGAAATCTGGCTTCTCCCTTCCTCTGAACATCTGCATCCCTAGGCTGACCAGTGCTTACTGCCTTCTTGTCCCCGTCTTAGAGGTTACCCGGCTTGTTTGTCTTGCGCTGGTTATTTAACCACCCCTTATTAGGGCCCAACTTAACAAATGCAGATTTGGGAAAATCTCAAGCAGGTTTCACCTTCTAGAGATGTTTAATTTAGGGCATGCTTGCCAGGCTGCCTTCTCCGTTGCTTATTTATTTCTTTTTGCTGTAACTTCCTTTCTCTCCCCGCACCTCCCTTGGATTTTTTAGCTGGCTTTTCATCTCTCCTCTCCTGCCCCTGCATCCCCTCTCCTGCCCTCCAATTTATCCTACATCTGGAGCAGAACTTAGTCAAACTGTGATACCACTGTAATCACTACAACAACTAGTCAAATAACGTGAGCTATGCGGCATGAAGCGGTCGCCGAGGGGTGGCACTGAGGCAGGGGGGCTTTGGAGGAACCACCAGCCTCCCAGTTCTGGAGGCTGGAGCCTAGAGAAAAAAGCCTCTGTCCTTGGGCTCCTCCCAAGGGCTCCCTGGGCTTTGCTCCCTCCCTTGCCCTGTTCCCACCACCTGCTTCTGCCTCACCCCAGGAGGCACTAATCTGTGGAAACATTTCCCTGGCACTTCCTATGGGCTGAGCTCCCAAGAGAAGGGCACTCGTGATCCCGCCTCTCAGTGGAGCCCAGGACCAGCAGGGCTCCGGCCCTGGCATCTGGTCCTGGTTCTGACCTGTCAAAGGGAAGGTGAAGGGCATGGGGTGGGGGGGGAGCCAGGAGGAGCCTGACTTGAGGGTCTCTGCCCCAGGCAGCGGCGGGCAGAGAAGGAGCAGGCTGCACTCCCTTAGGGAACAGCAGGGCTCCTGTCTTCTCTCTGCGGAGTCCGACCCTGAGCATATTTGAATCTGCTTAGTAGCTGCCAGGTAGGGGGCATTGGAAGGCAGCATTTCTTGGCTCCAAGCTGGGAGCTGAGTTTTGTGGGTCACTAGGGAGTTGGGGTCAGAGAGTGAGACGCAGAGGGAGCAGGGACTTGAGAGACTCCATTTTTCCTCACCAGACAAAGACCTTTCCCGCCTTCCTGGGGTTTGACAGCCATGGCTGTGAGCTCTCCCTTGAAGTTTAGGCTTAATGGAAAGTGTTAGAAACACAGTGTGAGGATTATTTGAGCTTTTTTGCTACTCCCCCTAAGATTCACATTCCTTCCCTCACCCTCCCTTTTTGTTGCCAATTCAGTACTTATTCAGCCTTTGTTGGAGGGTGAGCTGGAGAACAGAAATAATCCTTCACATTCGTACAGAGCTGTACAAAGTGCTCTCGTCCACCTGATTTCGGCAGAGCCCCATGAGGAAAATATTACTGCCCCTTCTTACAGAGCAGGAATTGGTTCTCAGACTGGTTACACAGCCAGCTAGGGGCAGATTCAAACCCGTGTCACCTGGCCCCAGATGCACCATTTTTCCATGATCCTAAATTAATGATGGACTCTACTTCCCATCCGTTATCTGACTCAATCCCGACAACAGCTCCAAGGGGCTATTGCCCCTGTTTTACAGATGAGGCAACTGAGACTCAGAGGTTAAGCACTTTGCCCAAGGTCATGCAGGTGTTGGGAGCAGAGTCTCTCTGAGTCCAAAGCCTGTGCTAGTAGTACTGAAGGGGAAACTGAGACTCAGAGAAGTCATCTGCCCAAGATCACACAGTTCTTAAGGGGCAGCCATGGAATTCAAATGCCAGTCTAAAATCCCCAAGTCCAGTGCCTTTTCAATCGCACCACATTGCCCGTCCCAAGAACCTGTGGTGTGTGGCTCATTCATTCCGATCCAGGGAGATCTCAAGGACAAAGGCTGTTTTACCATCGGCTTTGATTCGTAGCTCAAGCTCTCTGTGTTCCCCTGGCCGACCTCACTCTATTCACACCTCTTCCCTCTGTCTGCCAACACTCCTTACCACCCCCACCCCAGCTTCTGAGTTGGGCTCCTCTCCCTTCTTTGAGTTTAGGGACAGCTAGGTCTCTAATAACCCATGGGATAATTGGAAGGAGAATGAGCAGGGGACCTGGTCCCCATTGGATCGCACCACTCTCTTCTAGTGTCAGAAAGGATAGTCTTTTCCAACGTCTGGAGTGGGAAGGAAGACCGTTGAGAGGGAACTGCTCCAAATCCTGGTTCTGGGAACGCAAACCTTCCAGCCCTATGGCCTCCAAAGGCTCTGGAAAGAATGAAAATGCTGGCCAGACCAGGACAACGTGAGCTCTAAGACTCTGGGCAGGAAGGAGCAGTGAATCTGAAACTTTCCCCCACCCCTCCCCACATCCATCTACCACTCCCGAAATCCTCCTGGAAGGAACCTCGGCGATAGTCACAGGAATACCCTACATCCCCATCCAAGACTTCACTCAAGCTTCTTACTCATACCTCAGGTTGGAAAGAAGGCAAAATCTTCCCAAGCAAAGAGGATGGGATGGGAGTCCCTTGATGTTGCCCCAGGTTGCTAAAAATGTGGCCATTCTGGATCCAATATTCTCTCCTTCTGGAGGAGATAGTAGAAAAAGACAAAGTTCCTACTGGAGAACTGAACACTTCATTAGTCTGTTTGGGTTTTTTTTTTTTTTGAAAATTTAAATCTACATAATTTTATAAAAATGAAACTACCTGCAATTTCAGGGTTCAGTGTCCATGCAGCTGCCAATAAAAAGGAAAAGCATCATGCTTCATATATGTGACGTCTAGACCTACAAATATAAAGATGTAAGAATAATAGAAAGCGTTTAATACCCAAAAATATTCCTCAGCCACCATGTGCAATGCTGTAAATACTACACTAATTCGTGACGACCCCCAGAACCAGAAACTAGAACTCAAAGAGGAGCGAGAAAATGGACAGTCAGCCCTGCTGAGAAATAGCATGTTGTACAGGGATCCATCGCAGTCGTGCTGAGAGGAAGGATTTGACAAGTCAATTTTCCTTTCTCTTAGCTAAGCACTTTGACAACTCAGTTCCTCCCTGCCCGCCAAAGCCATGTCTGTCTCTAAAGTTCGCAGTGACAAAACCTATACATCCTCAGGGTGTTCTTTTTCTTTTTTTTTTCTTTCTGAAGACATAGGGCAAGCTCTGTAGAGAAGTGTCGCTCTGGGGCCTGAACTGAACTGTGTTAGTCTCAGGACCGTGTGTGTACGGTGACAGGTTGCCCTGTGCCAGCACTGAGTGCTGAAACCCGAGTGACCGAAACACTGGGTTTCTGGGGTTTTTCGCAGCTTTCATTATTTCGTTGTGTCCTCAAAAAGTCAAACATAGAGTTACCATAGGACCCAGCAATTCCACTCCTATTTATATACCCGAAAGAACTGAAAACAAGTACTCAAAAGTTTGAGTACTCGTAGCTTCACTCTTCATAATAGTCAAAAGATAGAAACCACCCAAATGTCTATGAACAGATGAGTGGATAAACAAAATCTGTTATATCCATGCTATGAACGATTATTCAACCATTAAAAGGGATGCAATACTGATACATGCTATAACATGGATAAACCTTGAAAACGTTACACTGAACGAAAGAGGTCAGACACAAAAGGGTCACATATTGCATGGACCCATTTATATGAAATGTCCAGAATAGGGAAATCCACAGAGACAGAAAGCAGACTAGTAGAGCGGGGGAGAGGGGAGTAACTTCATGGGTAAAAGGTTTCCTCCGGGGGTGGGGGGAGGAAGGGGTGAGGAAAGTGCCCTGGAACTAAATAAAGTTGGTGGTTGCACAGCATTGTGAGGGTACTAAATGCCAATGGATTGTGTGCTTAATTTTTGCATGTAAATTTTACACCAACAAAAAATGTTTGAGGTATTTAGGAGGTGGAGTCCATGCATGGCCCTTGGTGGTTGATGGGTAGGGGGGAGGCAAGGTAGAGCAAGGGGTCCAGACGACTCCCAGGTGGCTGACATGAGCAAATGGGAGGGCGGCTTCATTTACCCAACCGGGGAAGACTGCAAAAGGAGCAGATATCCAGGAGATGACAAGCTCCATTTGGGATGTGACAAGCTGGACGTGCCAAGAGATCCAAGCCTGGAACTCAGAAGAAAATAAACCTGCACAGTAAGAAAATAAACAACCTGAATAAAAATTGGGCCAAAGACCTTAACAGACACCTTGCCAAAGAAGACATGTGGATGGAAAATAAGCATGTGAAAAGATGCTCCCTATATGTCATCGAGGAAACGCAAATTAAAAGAAGAAGATACCAGGGCACCTGGGTGGCTCTGTCGGGTTGGTGGGTTGGGCGTCTGACTTCCCCTCAGTTCATGATCTCACTGTTCTTGAGTTCGAGCCCCATATTAGGCTCTGTGCTGACAGCTCACAGCTCAGAGCCTGGAGCCTGCTTCGGATTCTGTCTCCCATCTTTCTGCCCCTCCCCTGCTCACAGTCTCTCTCTTTCTCTCTCTCTCTCTCTCTCTCTCTCTCTCTCTCTCAAATATAAATAGCATTAAAATTTTTTTTAAACATTAAAAGAACGAGAAACCAGTACATACCTATTAGGACGGTCAAAACGCAGAACACTGACAACACAGGTGCTGAAGAGGATGTGGGCCAACAGCGACTCTCTTCCATCGTTGGTGGGAAAACAGAACTACAGCAACTCTGGAAAACAGTCCAGCAGTTTCTCACAAAACTCTTACCGTATGATCCACCAAGTGCACTCCTTGGTATTTACCCGAAAACGTTTATCTACACAAAAACCTGTTTCGTAATTGGCGAAACTCGGAAGCAAAGAAGATGTCCTTTAGCAGGAGAACGGACAAACCGTGGCCTAGCCACACGATGGAATATCATTCAGCACTAAAAAGAAATGAGCTATCAAGCCATAAAAAGACCCGGAGGAAGCTTAAATGCGTATCACCCAGTGAAAGAAGCCAATCTGAAAAGTCTACATACTCTATGATTCTAACTACATGACATTCTGGAAAAGGCAAAACTAGAGAGACAATAGAAAGATCACTGGTAGTGGGGAGGGGGTGTTATGGGCAGGCAGAACTCAGAGGATCGGTAGGGCAGTGAAAATACGCTACATGATATTCTAATGATAAATATATCATTAGGGGCTCAGTTGGTTGAGTGTCAGACTTTGGCTCCGGTCATGATCTCATGGTTCATGAGTTCGAACCCCGCGTTGAGCACCGAGCCAGGCTTGCTGTCAGTGCAGAGCCTGCTTCAGATCCTCTGTCCCCTCCTCTCTCGGCCCCCCTCCAAAATAAACATTAAAAAAAACATACCATTAAACATTTGTCTAAACCCATAGAGTGTGCAACACCAGGAGTGAACCTCAAGGTAAACTATGGGTGGTGACAACGTGTCAGTATCGGTTCATCCTTGGTAAAAAATGCACCACCCTGGTGGGGCACCTGGGTAGCTCAGTTAAGCGACCGATTTCAGCTCAGGTCATGATCTCACGGTTTGTGAGTTCGAGCCCCATGTCAGGCTCTGCGCTGACAGCTCAGAGCCTGGAGCCCATTTCGGATTCTGTGTCTCCCTCTCTCTCTGCCCCTCCCCCACTCATGCTCAGTCTCTCTCTTTCCTTCCAAAATAAATAAACATTAAAACAAAGAAAAATTTTTTAAAAAAATGTACCACTCTGGTCAATGGTATTGGTGAAGGGGGAAGCTATGTATGTATGGGGGCAGGGGATTTATGGGAAGGCTCTGTACCTTTCTTTCATGTTATTGTAAAGCTAAAGCTACTCCTAAAAAAAAAACTGTCTTTTTAAAAAATTAGAATATGTCCGCAAACAGAAATTGTAAACGTACTCTAAGGCATTAAAAATTAGTGTAAATTTTAAAATATAAAGTATCTATGCTTGAGGACCTTGTAATCCACAAAGGTCATGATTTGGCCTTAGCAAAACAAAACCAGCCCGTCAAACAAAAAGTCCCTGTAAAGTAAGTCCCAAGCTGCGTACCTGATATCATCAGAGAGCACTGTCACCTTTCTCTCCCACTCCCCACCCAGCCATGTATTAAAAAACGTGCTGTTCTCCAAAACTGCCACGTTCTCCCTGGCCTGCCTGCCATTTCACTGCTTCCTCCGACTAGAATGCTATTCTCTATTCCCAATTCTTTTGGGCATTTACTTGGGAGTGGAATTGCTGGGGATATGGTAATTATATGTTTAACTTTTTGAGGAAACAGCGAACTATTTCTACAACGGTTACACCATTTTACATTCTCACCAGCAAATGTACGAGGGTTTGGATTTCTCCACACTCTCGCCAACGTAGGCTTATTTTCTGGGCTTTGCTTTTTTTTTTTTTTTTTTTTTAATGGCCAACCTATGAGTATGAAGTGATATTGCATTGTGATTTTGATCTGCATTTCCCTAATGATTAACCTAAATAACTTAAAAAAAATTTTTTTAATGTTTATTTACTTTTGAGAGAGAGACAGACAGACAGACTGTGAGCAGGGGAGGGGCAGAGAGAGAGGGAGGCACAGAATCCGAAGCAGGCTCCAGGCTCTGAGCTGTCAGCACAGAGCCCCATGCGGGGCCCGAACTCACAGACCACGAAATCATGACCTGAGCCGAAGTCCGACGCTCAATCGACTGAGCCACCCAGGCGCCCCAGACCTAAATAACTTTTAAATATACCTAGGTTTCCCCAATCCACAGACTTGTTTTTGACCTATTATATTCCAACAGTCTACTTCATAGGGTAATTATTAGGATTAAATGAGTTAATAGATAAATCCACACAGGAAGAGTCAACTGAAGCATCTCCATGTCTTTGAAGACTTCTGGAGCCTTCCCAGACAAAGTTCAATGTTTCCTCCTATAACAAAGGTATATTTTTGTTAAACCTCCCCCAGGAGTTCTAATATGCAGCCATGGTTAGAAACTACCAGGCTGGGGCACCATTCCCCAAACTGGTCAGATCACAGGAGTCATCTGGGGCACCAATTAACAGGGCGGATTTCCTGGCCTGGCACCAGATTTTGGAAACAGAATTTCCAGGAGAGAGGCCTGGAAATCTATATTTTAAAAGACATGCCCACAGGTGATTCCTTTGACGGGGCCAGTTTGGGAACCCCTGGGCCGTTGGCTGATCAAAGAGCAGTAAACACGGAGGGCGGGGTGAAACAATAATCTGGTTTGCAAATTGTGATCTTGCTCTGGAAAGATAAAGATTACTCGTATCTGGCTGATGACCCACCGCAGGGATGCTGCCCTGAGACTAGCTTCCCACCCGCATCCACGGAGCTGAAGACTGCCCGTCTTTACCCCTTTGCAGGTAGGCGTGCCCTTCACGGTCTGGGAAGGCTAGACTTCAGCGTGCACCCCAGGGAGAGCCTGAGCAGCCCTTGCATATGCCTGATCCTTGATGGGGCCTCTCCCTCTTTGGTGAAGACATAATATCCCTACTATGCGCAGGAATGTCCCGAATCTCTTATTATCGCTAATGCTCACAGCATCTCTGAAAGAGTAGTGTCTCCGTTTTATAGACATGGCTCAGAGACATCAAGGAGCTGACCCAAGGTCACACACCTAACGTGTGGCTGAGTGTGGATTCAAACCCACGTGAGCACAGAACTGGGGCACGTGCCTCCCTGCGGCACTTCCTCTCAAAGGTGACCGCTCTGTCCCCAGTGGATGCTTCGCCAGGCTATTTTGCTTGCTGCTGGGGCTTCCCAGTAACACCCAGTAATTTCAGAACTGCAGCTTCCAAA